GAATCACTTACATTTAAATGAGGATTGTTATCTCTGTGCATATACATGTGCACATTCAAAAGTGCTGTTCACTTGCATAGGCATCAAGTTTTCATTGAGAATGTATGAACAGATGCTTTACATATTTTATAAAAGGAAAATATGTGAACTACAACATTAAGACAAGCTTTTGTTTGAATATGTTCAAATCTCAGATTTTTAAAGGTGGGATTAAAAATCCCAAATATATTTTAACATATAAGTGTTATGCATGAAGTAGTAACTATTTAAGTGACAGCACGAAATTGCCTTGTGATAATATCTTATTTCTTTTTACCAGCGCATTTCTGAAGATCGATGCAATGGAGGCCATCTTGTTTCTCTCATGTAGATTTCGATTTGAGCCAATATGGCTGCTACAATAAGGTGGCTATTTTCGGCCGCAAAGCACTTCCTGTTATATTGATTTTCATGTTTGAAATCATGATTATCAATTTAATTTAAAGACAAGTTTTAGTATTTGTATAAGTATGTATGTGAAAAAGCATTCTATATGATCTGGCAAAATTTTCATTCACCTATAACCTCAGGACCCCACTTACTTCTCAAACATGGCGGCTATCAGACTAGGGGAAGCCGGTTTCGGTAAGTGTAATTTAACGCAAATGTAAGATCTGGGGATTTTGTTTTGGGGAACATGTACATTGTAATTGTTTTCTCACACAAAAGGTTACTGAAAAGTGGATTTCGAATCTTATGTATACTATAGTCTCTTTCACAGAAGGTTTTCTGCTTTCACTTTCTCAAACCATTTCTTGATAACAAGATCATAGGGTTTCTTGTCTGTTTCCCATTTGTTTTAAGAAAATAACAAAGATGACTATGATTAAAAGAATTTTGAGAAGATGTCGTGCTTTCATGCTCCTTACGATATTTCGTTACTACGTCGTATTATTGTATACTGATAACAGATTGTTTTTGTGGATTTCGAAAAGGCATTTTTTCCCCAATACATCTGCAAGCTTAAAGTTTATAAGAGGCTGAAATACAACAGGTATCATCGACAGTTTTGCACGTTGCTGGATACCCTTGCCTTCACAGGGAAAATAAAACTCTTTTCAATTGTGCATTAAGAGGCGTATTGCAAGATACCGTGCGTTCGACATTCTTTCTGCAAACTAGCATCACCAAGAAATTAACTGAAACCGTTAGAGGTTCAAAGTGATCGGTAAATATTGTATTATATAGTTAAAATTAGGTGAGGCGTTGTGCAATTCAGGATATGTTGCCTGAGCGCCTATTGGACGAGCGCTCTGCTGACTCGGCCACGCTGGGACCAATAATTGGTTGAGAAAGTGTCATTTGAGGTGAGGACGGGCAGGTGGAAGACTTTCCCAACTAAAAAAAACCCCCACGATTTTAGAAAAATACGATTGTCAAACGGTGTTGTGCATTTCTTTTCTTTAGTCGTTTTAAGAAATTCCAGTCTGGGCGTCCAGAGAAATTCAAGTGGCCAGTGGTTTACGTATAACAACGTGTGTTGTTTTTACTACCAGCAGATACTAGAGTACTAAAGAGAGCACTAAAGTTTTACTCTGGAGTTTGGCAACTGCAGCTGAATACCATTAGTATATATTACTTGAAGTCATGAGTCTATGAAGTTTGCTTAATTTAGATTGAGCGTTCAATTTATTTCAATTCCATTCATTTTATTTATGACACAAAGGATGCCACAATGTTTTAATTGGAAATGATTCCCATGTCATCTGAGCTTGAGTAGATTCTAAATTCTGTTTATACGTCACCTTCATTACGAGTAATACTGTTTTTGCCATAATGATGCATAATATCTAGGTTAAAACCCGTTAATCATAATGCTGCATTAATAATATATTATCTGCTAATGTCCAAGAAAATTCCATGATGTTCTCATGAACGTTTACCGTAGCACAGTAGAAAGTGTCCTCACTAGTGGTATCACTGTGTAGCACAGCAATACTACCATGCACGACAGAGATGCATTAGATAGAGAGATACTTTATTGATCCCATGAGGGAAATTGCATTACAAAGGGTTGTGGCAGTGGCACAGAGGATTATAGGATGTGTCTTCCCATCAGTCGGTGAGATTCACACCTTCCACTGTCGCAATAAAGCTCAGTCCATCATTCTCCCCCCTGAGCTCTGGTAAGTGGTACCACACTATTGAAGCACAGACCACTGGGCTTAAGAGCAGCTTCTACCCAACTGCAGTGTGCATCCTCAACAGCTAACTGCAGTGCCTCAGACTCGGTGCTCCTCTAGCACTCTGCACTTTTGACTTGGACTCCCATGTTTTTTTTAACTACCACATATTTATTGTTACTGGTTGTTACTGTTTGTTATGTGCCTTTTTGTAATGTTCTCTCTGCATTGTGGGGTGTTGTCTGTCGTACTATGTCATCTGCTGCAGTTTGTATGTCCCTGAGAGGTCAGTGTCAATAAGACATGTACGTGTACATACTGTAAGGCAATAAACCCCTCTACTTTTCCCTGGACTGTAGACATTAAAGGTCTTCTTTATGTGTCTCAGGTGTGTGTCATTGGATGGGGCCCTTTACAGTTGCACTCTTCATATGGCTGTCTGTCACATCTGTCAGAGGAGATTCCAAAGCTGTGACAACAACACTCACCACAAAATGGGCTTCTACTCCACTCCTGCTGGAAGCAAGGTAAGATCATGAAACCGCAGTAGCACTTATTGGTAAATACACTTATTACAGAAAGCACTTAGTATTGTTTTTCAGAATAAGGAAAAGGGAATATACTGTTGTTTCTATTTAAATATGAACAGAAGTTGTAAAATGTTGCGCTTCGTCCACCATAGTTTCTTTGAAAATGAATCTGTTTTTACAAAGGTGGGCAAACTAATACAAATGAAAAAAACAATACAATACGTTATCAGTTGTCAACCGTATTTCGTACTCTAAATTAAGTTAACTCCAAGTTAGTCACAAAGAACATACCCCAAAATGGGGAGAAAAGCAGTCAACTGCATTCTTTGTGTCTTTGTTACTATTACTCTTTGTATTTCTCAATAAGAGGCATGCTTCAGAGAATGAAATGATATGTATTGCTTACGCTTAAAAGTGTCAAGATATTTAGATATCGTTTGATAATAGTAGCATATAGCAGGAAAAAGAGATAAAATCAAAAGTATTTACAGTGCTTTGCAAAAGCTGTTCTGTTAATTTAATCTGTGTCAAGCTTTTAGTATAAGCAAAATACGCTTTCCAAAAATAGGGAGGGAATAATCTTTGCATGACTGCATGACTTTTAATTTGAGTGTTTTTTCATTTTATCCTTAGTTTTTAACATAGTATCGTTCCAGTAAACACCATGTACTGTTATGTAGTTAACCTCATCGTATGAGTGAAATAGAGCAGTCCTCAAATGGAGTAAACATATTTTTGTCTGTTACATGTGTAGTGCCTATGACAGATTTAAATTTTAACAGAATTTTAGTGCTTTTGTATGTGTATATATAATTTCAATCTATCAACCTTGTAAAATTCACGTGATAGCATTTGAAATGTTTTAAACATTTATTAAAAGTGTATCAAGCACCCCTAATTCATTACATATGATAAGAATGTCTTCATTTTAATCCAGGAAGTTTAACAGTGGAATGTCACACATGGAGAAAATATCTGAAATATATAAAAAGTATTGAATTGTGGACTTTCTCTTAAAAAAAAACAGAATATGCTAATTCTGTGGATGCCATGTAACAGTTGTGCTTTTTTCTTTTTTTTTAGTGAATTTTTAGCTGAAGAAAGTGAGGAGCAGTTCTGGGATTTTGTCGAAGTTAATCAAGAAATTGGAGAAGATGACCGTGGAGGTAAGGGTGGTTTTAATTCTGTTCTCTGAGTAGTCCTGTAAAATGTATGATTCATTAAGATACTTTAAAAAGAGAGTGAGTGTAAGTTTAGATGTCTGTTGTGAGATGTTAGTTAAAACTTTAAATATATTCAAAATATTCCACTCCTTTTCACATAGTTTCATTAAAAATATACAGTTTTGTCCCTATATGTTCATGGTCCCAGGGTTTAATTTTGTTCTTACCTGGTTAAAGAAAGTATTTACTGTGTTTTTCCATCTACCTGAAGAATTTAGACGGGAGATCTGCTATATGAATACCACTTAGCTTAAGTATTTTTCCATTATTATGTTTAAAACATGTGGTTTTATCTAATCAGATTTCTGACAACATCTTTGTATGTGTAATAAAAATATATATTTTATAACAGTTACTAAAGAGTAAAGAGAACTTGACAGTTTTTCCCAATGTATGTCCCCTGTTCCCCTGTGTTTTATTGAAATCCCCATCAGTGCACACTGTCACGACTTAAAGTAATTAGTTATGTCTTCTGTTCTACCAGGGTTATTTTTTATAGGGTTATAGAATAATACCTGGAAATACAACTGGAATGTCAGTAATGCTCGTGAGGGTTTGTTTGCACTTGGGTGATTTCTAGCTGTTGTTGTTTCATCTGTCAGATTCGGATTATTCATACTACCATCTGATTCTGAAGAGAGCCGCCCCATTCCTCAGCCCACTGCAGCTCAACATGCTCAAGTTTGCCTTGTCTCTGCGAGCGTACTCAGCTACGGTGCACTCCTTTCAGCAGGTCAGGGCCCTCCTCAGATGTTTAGTAAATTGGTAACGGGATCTGTTCTTTCCAATCGATGGCATCCATTAGTTCAAAGTTTGAGAAAATGTAAAGGCGTGAGATAAAATATGTTGCTCCACGTGCTGAAAACAGTCTTCTATTAATGTTGATGTTCAGTTAATGTAGAGTCCTTAAATCAAGAAATTTTTATAAAGCATCATTTCATGCTTTACATCCCTAGACACAGTAAAAAAAAAAGCAAAAATTAAAGGCTAAACAGGAAAGTGTGTCTTTACATGAGGTTTTCAAGGTGTGTTTTTGTGTGACTCAAGAGGTTCATATGGACAAGGGCAGCTGGAATTCCACAGCTTAGTTGCAAACCGAACAAAATCTTGGTCACTTAGAATTCGCAGTGGTCCCAGGCACAAAGATCTGCTGAAGATAAGGCCTGGAGGGAAAGAATACACAGTTGAAAAACAAAAGTGAAAATAGGGCGGGCCAAGCTTTGAAAGGTAACAAAAAAATTATACTATGTGCTCTAATCTTTAAAGCCAGTGCAGTGACACGAACGGCTCACGTCTCCGCCTTGTTTTGCTCAAGCAGTTTCATTTTCGTAATGGTGCTATCCAGCAGAACATTGCATTACAATAGTCAGTGCTAGAAAAAAAAATCTTAATTACATTGTATGCGTTATACTTTAATTAAATTAATTACATTATATTTGTTCATAATCAAAACTAAATAATTGAATTAATTAAATTCTCATTATTTAATTTTGCAGATTGCTGCTAATGAAACACCTCCTCCAGGCTGCAAGGCTTTCTTCAGTGTTCATGGAGAAAAATCGTGCAACCCTGAAAGTTTAAGCGACATGTTGGAGACGGCTTCAGAGAGGTAAGTATAAGAGTTACGCTTGTTGCCTAGGTTACATTACAAGATTTCATGTTCTGAGGAAAACTAAGATTGATGATATCTCCATTCGATGCCTGCTGTGGAATGATTGGTATTTGGGGTTTTTAAATGATCATCATTTTGATTACTGCTATTATATTTAGATAACATTTTTAAAATGTTTTGTTCTACTTCTAATAAAACACAAAACTGCAGATCAATAAAATAGCTCCCTTCTTTCTTTGCTCTTTACTTCTAGGCCAAAGCCATATCTGTTTAAAGGCGACCACAAGTTCCCTGTCTCTAACCCTGATGTTCCTGTGGTTATTCTATATGCCGAAATGGGAAGCAAAGAGTTTCCCAAGTTCCATCAGCTGCTTGTTTCCAAGGCCAACCGTGGACAGATTTCCTACGTTCTTCGCCATTTCCTTGCGGTAAGTGTTAGATACCAAGAGAAACCACTGTCCAGCTCTGAAAAACACAAGAATACTGTGACTGTTGATCAGTGTGTTTTATTTTATCTGAAAACTCAGTAGGCTTAGTTTCTCATTCTGTTGTCTGTTCTATTTTTAATATCTCCAATGAACAGACTCCAAGTAACAATAAGGTTTACCTCTCTGGATACGGTGTAGAGCTGGCCATCAAAAATCAGGAGTACAAAGCCAAGGATGATACTCAGGTCCAAGGTAAATTTCTCTTCCCGATGAAGCTCATTCAGTGAAGACACTTGGTTATGTCGTGTAAAATGACTTTTTTGTCTTGCATTTTCTCTTCAGTTTCTCTTTATTAAAATGTTTTACTGTATTGTGGGTGCTGGGTGAAATGAAACCAGTCAAAAAATTATCTCTGAACAAAAGTGTTTGGAAAGGTAGATGAGATGAACAATAAACTACCTCTGCCCATCCATTATGAGAAAGGTGCCTATTCCTCCTTATCAAGCAAATGCTAAAAGCATAAGGGTGCAGGGTTGAACTGTACCCTAGACTTTATATCAGTATATCACGAGACATGTGCACACAAACAGACACAAAGGAAGAGTTTAAATACACCAGTTAAGCTAGACAACATACTTGCAATATGGGAGGAAACAGAACCACCTGGAGAAGTCCAGTGCAGAGACTGGTGGTGCCCCAGTCTGGAATCAAACGCAAGATCCAAGAGCAAACAGAACACCACAGTATGGATCAACAAACTACTTGAATTTGTTAAAATATCAGGATTTAAATGGCATTTAATTGAAAACGTTTATAGGTTCACGGTTTTGTTTAGTGTCATAGTTTGATCGTCTTTTACTGAGGTTATAACCCTTACTGCATTGGCCTAATAAAAACATCAGAAGTATGGAGTATACATTTTTATTTTACTGTTACACAATACAGTGAGTAGGGTATTTTGTTCAGCTTCATATTCCACATAATTTTGCCTAGGTGTTGCTTTACGGTATAAAATAAAAATGATTGTAGTAGTGTGTATGGTTTTAAAACAGTTGTTGATTTCAGGGGCTGAAGTGAATGCTACAGTTATTGGAGAGAATGACCCAGTTGATGAAGTCCAGGGATTCCTCTTTGGAAAGCTGAAGTAAGTGCTCTTTATTGTCACACACCGCTGCCCTCACTCTTACCTGTGATAGGCAGGAGCTGTCCAGCTTTACATCTAATACACATAAGCTGATAAGTGATAAGCTGGTAAACCTTCATGAACAACTGTTCATTTTTCCAGGATAGAGTAAGTAGGGAGAAATTAAATCAACACATTTTCTGAAAAAATAAAAAGCATATTGTTAGCTTCTTAACTAAACAAGAAAATGATATGGATGTATATATAGAAAAATCTAAAGAAAAACACTTTATTGTGCAGGTTTGCTAGCTTTAAGAGAAATAGTAGAGGCTTCCTTGTAAACACTGCTTCTTCAGTCTTATTTTGCACTGGGCATACACTGTGGGCTGATGAAATGTATATGAAGAGTGAGCACACTTAGCTCCTGTGAGGATCTGAGCTGAATCTCTCCACCCACCCCCCTGTCTCCCAGGACACTGTACCCAGAGCTTCAGGAGCAGCTGAAGGAACTGCGCAAGCACCTGGTGGAGAGCACCAATGAGATGGCCCCTCTGAAGGTCTGGCAGCTGCAAGGTGAGCTCTCTCTCGCTCTCTCTCGCTCTCTCTCGCTCTCTCTCGCTCTCTCTCGCTCTCTCTCGCTCTCTCTAACGGTCTCTCTCTCGCTCCGAGCCTGGTGCTCTTATCCTCTCCCTGCAGGTCCTGCACACACCTGAAAGAACTACATTTGTTTGGTTTTCTCAAGTAAAAAAGGTTTTTCAGTTGGTGTCATCTTTTGAAAGTCGTTTGAACAGTGTTTGAGAATGAGTGTTTGTGTGTATGTAAGAACATGCATCATTTTTTCCTTAACCGAAGGAAAGAGTGATGTACGTCTCCCTGTGATGGACTGGTGTCCCAACCAGGGTGTTCCCTGCCTTGTGCCCATTGGTGTCTGGGATAGGCTCTGGCTCCCCCATGACCCTGAATTGGATGAAGTGGCTTTAGAAAATGGATGGATGCTTAATACATCCAAATGTAGTGATAAGACCTCAGTGATTCAGGCTCAGCAAAGAGCTCAGAGCCCTCTTCAGATGATCAGGTCATGTTCATGTTTTAACTCTCCTGTACATTTTCCTGTAATGAGTGTGGAATCCAGGAGAGATGCACATGGACTTCTCCAGGAGATTTGCTTGCCGTTAATTCTGATCGTCTTAAAATAGTTTAATGTGACTCAAGGATGGGTCTGTTGTTGGCAAACATATGGGCTGATGGGTATTTTCTTGCTTTTAATTATCTTTATTTTCATTCCCAGCTCTACTGGTGATTGAATGTGTATATTGAGCTGGGGCGGCTATTGGTATAACATTTATTACAAGCACAATTTCCAGTTAACAGTTCTTATGAGGTTAAGATGAGATTGATTTTAATTAAACACCTTTTGTATCCTGCAACTTGTTTCATGATGGACCTCTCTGATGAAGTGGTATTATGATCTATCTGTTGGCAATGTCTTTTGGAATTTTTCTTCTCCCAGACCTCAGTTTCCAGACAGCTGCTCGGATCTTGGCTGCCCCCTCTGTGGATGCCCTGATGGTTATGAGGGACCTGAGCCAGAACTTCCCAACTAAAGCCAGGTAACTCAAGCTGATTTGTGGCCTGCAGACAGCTTTAACAAGGAAAGAATGAAGCATGTTCCTTTTTTTACCTGCTTTGCCTGAAATTTGAAAAAAAAAAATGAAGGTGCACTGTCGGCAGTTCTTAAAGTCTGATAATTAAACTGAGCTGAGGCTGAGAATCAACATAATCAAGATGTCCTTGACAAGATCACATCATCCAGCTCATTGTTGATTGTTTTTGTTAGGTTGCTTAGTTGATCCAGAGGTGAGTGATGTGTGTCAGTTGTGAAATGACAGGATGAAAGGGCGGTAAGCTGTATTAAAAGCATCTTTCCTACAAACTCATTCACGTGTGGAGAAATTACATGTGAGAGACTTGCAGGCAACCTCTTAGCCCCACAGTCTGGTGGTGTAGTTTTTTCCTTCCAGAGCCACACTTTTCCGTCTTGTGCCGTATCGGCTGCTTTGTTTACAAGCTGTGGTCTACAGAATGTTCCAGGATGACGGCACGGTGTCATTCCCTATCCCTTCCACATTGTCACCCTCTGCTTTGATTCCCATTCTTCGGTTCAGAAGAGAATTCCATCTGCAAAGTTCTAAGAGCTCATTACACTGCCGCCTCAGGAGGGTTTCTGAACCTGACACAACAGCATAACGCCGTTCTATGAAAAAAGACATTTAAATTGCTAATTATTCGCTTTGTGTTGTGTTTCCCGGTGCGAATACTGTCTAAACACAACCATGATTAAACGTACACGGGTTTGGAGCACTCTAGTATGTAAAAGCGAGTCTTTTCTCAACATGACTGAGAATGCTGAAACCATTTACCCTGACAAAAATTATATTTTTTTACTGATTGTTGCTGCATAATTTCTGCTGCACAAAAGTATTAAGAAATTGCTAAAAACAAATAAATCTGTTCAAGCTCTGCGGTACTGGTTTAAAGAGAATATAATTGCAAAGCTGTGGTAATAAAAACTAAATGCATTTAATTAACAAAGTCTGAAAAATGACCTGCCAGCAGCCATGATGATTGTTATTATGCTTCAGTTGGTTCTCACACACTGGGAACAGATGAGTTTTTAGAGGAGTCTTTCAATTTGATTCTTGAAGAGAAATGAAGGACCATATTGCATTCATCTACAACATTCATTGTTCCGTACTGGTACATGAGCTTTTTTTCCCTTGTTTTCTTTGCCATAGATCCATAACAAAAACTGTGGTAAACTCTGAAATCCGAAAGGAAATTGAGGAAAACCAGAAAGTAAGTGATCGTATCTTCATTTTGTGAAATTTTCATTTAAAGTATTCTTGTAAAAAAAAAATGCTGTAGTAGTGTGATCTACTCTACAATTTACACTGCTGTTAAATATTTTTTTATATCCTCCTGCAGTATTTCAGTTTTATTTTAATTCTGACTTGTCTGCGAAAGAAAAAATTACATAGAAATAGTGGAATGCAACATCGAACGATTTATTAGTGATTTTGAAAGCAGCTGTTTTAAGCTAGTAGGGTTAAATTAATTGTTGTGTACTTTTCTATTTTCTATATTTATTTTAATTGGAGTACATTGTAGTCTAATCACAAACTAAGGATTCATATTTACCTAACTTGTTAATTGAGGTTTGCACTAAAATCAAGCAATATCAAGAGGCTTGCATAAACTTTTAACAATTTTTTAATGAAAGAATTTCTTGGTTCCTATCCACGTACTGTCATGCATCCCAAATCTATGTATAAAATAGCAGTTGTTGGTATAGATGATCACTCAACTAAATTTCTTTAGGATAGTCTATCAGAATAATTAGATTTTCTGAAGTATATTTGTTCATTTTGTGAAATACGTAGCCACTTATAGATTAGTTAAAAGGTAGTAAAAGGTTAGATAGCAGTACTGTGCAATAAAAGAAACAGCCTTTCATATTGCAACAACATCTATTGGGGGAATAGATCTGTTTCATTTAATTGTGGGTTGTGGAATCATAGCTCCTGTCTGTTAGGGCTTTTCTTTTCCATCTTTACTTTAACAACTATGAAAAGTTATCTTTTTCCTGAGGAACTTTATGGCATAATTACCACATCTGTGATTTATTTTGTTTCTTTGTCATCCTTTTGGTTATTGTTTTTAGTTATTGATTGAAGCAATTTGGCCTGGAGTTAATGAGAAGCAGTAATGTGTCAGTTTTTCATTTCATTGGCTGTAATTGCACAACTTCATACTCCTCTGTCATGACTAATAGTGCTTCGACATTCAGTTTTAAAAAGATGGATCTTGCTGCAATGTGTGGATTTGCAACCTAATTAGTAACAGTACAAAAGAAAATCAGTAACAGTTTCAGTATGAAAAATGAAAAGATATATTAATTACACCATTGCTTGTGGTGTTCCTTCTTCAAAGTAATCTCCCAATCATAGTTTATATTTTTGAATGAATCTGGAGTTTTTAGTCATATTAGTCATAATATTAAACTATATTCCTCCGGTATAGTTCTAAGAATTCATTAGGGGAGATTGTTCTTTGTGTTGAAATCAATAGTTGTGCCAAACCAAGCAAAAAGTTCATCCAAGAGCTCTGTGCTGTGCTGGACCCAAGGGAGCCATTTGCTGACTTGTAATCTGAACTCCCTGCAGAGTTATTTCTTGAATGCAAACAGGCTTGCAAATTTTTCTATTTCTTCGCATTGCTGCTGCAGGAAGGGGGAAAACACCAGAGAAATTAAACTTTTCATCTGCCTCCTTATTTACAGTGCAGCTAACATGTTAAGATCTCTGCACTCTGAATACTTTGCAGTACTGTACCTAGATGTTAACTTATATATAAAATCTATTTTCCCTTCACGTTATCGTGTTGTTATACCATAATTCCAAACTACATTTTAAGTAAGATTTACAGAGAACATTTCTCTGTATCATTTAATGTATGTGTAGCAGTTAGCACTACATCCTCACAGCTCCTGGGTCCTGGATTTGATTTTGACCCAGGTTGCCTTCTGTGTGAAGTGTTCACATAGCTTTACCATGGCAGTATGATTTGTCACCTGGTGTCCCAATCTAGGTTAATTGGCGTCTCCAAATTGTCCCGTGATGGACTGGCACCCCGTCCAGGCTCCATTCTAACTTGCGTCCTTTGCCTGTCAGGTTAGACTCTGGGTCACTGTGTCCTGAATGTTGGATTAAGTGGGTATTGAAAATTGTTTTTCATAGGGCAAACTCAGCCTGTAAGTGATGGTGGTGTTGATTATTGCTTTTAAATGATTGTTAAAGATTGTTGACTCCAATTCCTTTCCATCTGTACAGTTCTGAATATTTTGTATTAGGAAAGCCTCTGAAGTCCCTCATTTGTGTCCCTCACTACATCATAAAACTTCCTTTACTGCAAGCAGTGCTTCTCTAACATGCTTGGCATGAGTGGCCACTTAACATTTAGGCATCCCTAGCAGTAGGAAAGTACAGTCACAGGCTTCACAATATTCTGTTCTACGGAATATCTAGAAAAAATCTCAAGCATGTGTTATAGAATATGATCCGCTGGCCTAGTGTATTAACATTAACGTCTCCGTGTTGTCTAGTTCTTTAAAGGAACCTTGGGGCTCCAGCCTGGCGATTCGGCACTTTTCATCAACGGACTTCACATTGATCTGGACGTTCAGGATATCTTCAGGTATGTGGGGAGGGTGGTGCGAGGGTGCTGAGGCTGTTCCTGTGTGATGTTCCGTGAACGTGTTCTGTTCTCCTCCCTGCAGCGTGTTTGACATGCTGCGCAATGAGGCGCGTGTAATGGAAGGCCTCCGTAGTTTACTGATCGAGACTCCTTTCATTCATGACATCCTGAAGCTCAATGTGCAGCCCTCGGACTCGGACTATGCTGTGGACATCAGAAACTCTGCCATATACGTGAGTATTCGTCAAAGCCAGTGCCTGGTTGGGAATAGTCAGAAAGACCTTGATAGCTTGCTGCTTACACTTCTTTTTAATGCAACTAAAATGAGAATGGGATTGCAGAGTTGTTTTAGTAGTTTTACTCTAAATTCAGAACAGACACTGCATTTCTTTAATAATTCATGGGCACAGTGAAAGTTGAGGAAGGTTCTATGTCTTTTCAGGGAGACAGCTACAAGGAGTGCAGATTGTCAAACCCTTGTTTATTTGGGGAAATAAGGTTTAAGATTTTGTACAAGAAACTGAAGACTAGTTTGATTTTCTTGAACCATGCTGAATGAGTGCCTGTTTTGTAGGGTGTAAAATGGTCTGCTCAGTTGTGTCTGAAATTGGAACTGTTGCTTGGAGCAGGCTGCTCCGGTAATAAAAAACTGGTGCTTTTTGTTTTTTGCAGTGGATCAATAACCTTGAGACAGACAGCAGGTACAATTCATGGATGTCCAGTGTACAAGAGCTCCTGCGTCCTACCTTCCCTGGAGTTATCCGACAGATCAGGAAGAATTTCCATAACTTTGTAAGTGCATCCTTTATGAATGCAGTTTCATGCAAATTCGCTCTTAAAAATAAAATGTACAGCAGGTAATCTCTCTTCCTGCAGCACTGGAATTGATTTGTTTCAGTAGTGATAAATTACCACATTTTGGAAATGTACTGTAACATTAAATATTAAAGTCTTCTCTCGACACTGTATATAGAATCTGTGTTATGCCTGGGGTACACGATATGCTTGGATGCTGTTTACAAAGATGCCGATTAAAACATGTCCTGGGGTTTCCGTATCTTCTAAAACACTTTGAATTATATTGCTCAGTCATGTTCGTAATCCCAGGAATGAAAAACAGGGGATTTGCGATAAGAGTCCAGAATCACTCTGATTCATCGATCATTGCACCTTGAATTTCTATCTAAAGCTGTCCTTGGTCTTTTCATTCGGGCTTGCTAGTATTTAAAAATATAGAAACCTGCCTTTCTTTTCTTTTGTATTTTACATTACTAAGACATTGTGTTTAGAGCAGCCTGTGTACACAAGGGGTGTGTGTTGTCCCTGGCTTAGCTCTGCATAGAAACACAACAATGTGGTTTTTCCTCAGGAGAGTTTTGGAGAAAGATGTTGATATATGAAATATTTTCTTGCATACTTCTTTATTTTTATGATCTTTATTAAATGATCAGCAGTTCAAGAGACGCAGAAACCTTCTAATCTATTGCCCCATAATTTTGTCTGTCTACCCAGGAAAAATAAGTTGTTTCAAGGCGATTTCTTTCTCTTTATGGGATATACCACCATCTCCTTTAACCATAGTGTGATTGCCTGATCCTGGCTATAACATTTTTTCCAGAGATATTCCTTGTGGTAACATGATTTATTTATTGAAAAAAAAAATAGAAGCAATAATTAACTCAGAAATCTACTTATTTCAATTGCCTTCTTGTGTATTTAAGGTTCTCCTTGTTGATCCTACCCATGAGAGCACAGGAGAGTTAATGAGTGTTGCTGAAATGTTCTTAAGCAATAACATCCCATTAAGGTAAGCCCATTATCTCTCTTAAGAAGAAAGTGTTTCTCATTAGCAAACTTGCCTGTTTTGTTTTCTTGTGCTTTGGGAAAGTTTTATACTGTTTTGCTGCCCTTTTCAGTGATTTGAGTAGGTTTTCAAACTTATAACATCTTTCACTGCTTTTGATTGTAGAACTACTATTATTCATTCATATTTGATAAGACTGCCATTTTATAGAATTGTGATGTATGGTCTTGTGTTGATGGAACCTGTCATGCTGTATTCTGTACAAGAGCTGACAAGGCCGTTTAATCTGATCATAAAGTAATCTCTTATCAGTATATTGGGTTTGCAGTATTTCAGACAAAAATAGGTCAAAAATAGTCTGAATTTTAATTATATAAACCTTATTTTGTTTTTATTAGATAAGCATGTATCTGCCTAAACAGGAATCTATGTGTTGATAATAATTATTTCAGGATCGGTTTGGTGTTTGTGGTGGATGATACTGAAGATATCGATGGGATGCACAACCCTGGAGTTGCTTTGCTGCGGGCTTTTAATTACATTGCTGAAGAAGAGGACAATCAGCATGCCTTTGAGGCTGTAACAACTGTAAGTAATCTTGTATGTAATGCATCTTCCTGCTCTGCATTTCTAGTGGAATCTTTGCAGAGATCCCCCTGCTGTAGTTACAAGAGTGATGAATCTTTAAAATAAGAAAGACAGCGTCTGTGACAGATTTGAACAGTGAGCAGTCTAACACTGAAATTGTAGTGCTTCGATCTGCAGCATAGGAAGCACAACTCCTGGATGTTCAGGAGGCATTCTTAGCTGTTTGTTGACTGCAGCTCCCTGTAGTTAATGCCACACTCATTTTCCTTCAGCTTCTCTGCACTGTGATTGCTTTTGTCCTTTGCAGATGTACAGTCACATTCCGACCGGAGAGAAGCTGAAAGTAGAGACTGTGATTCATTTTCTGGAGAAGCAGTATCCCTACGTGGAAGTGAGCAGCATTCTTGGAGCTGATTCAGCATATGACAAAAAGAGGAAGGTAAGTCCATTACATTCCATTCTAATTCGCTTTCAGTACTGTCAGGAGATTGCAGACACTGAACATGGTACAAGTGAGCAGAGTGTGAAGCAATAAAGAAAAGCCATAGGTTACTGGATATTCATGGATGATAAGTGTCATTCTCTCTCAAATGCACAATATTTGACTTTGTGGCAGTACTTCCATACACATGAGTTTCACGGTTTGACGGTTGTCCTCTTATGTGCTTGTGTATGTAAAAATGATTCAGCCAGCTATATGCCACTTGGAAAGCTATCTTTAATGCAGTCTTCCTTTGACTCAGAATAAATAAAACTGACCACTGTGTTTTCTCAGCATTTTCCCCCATATCAAATGAAACTCAGGATATTCTGAAAGGAAAAAGGTTCAAAGTAAATTCAAATACATGAATCCAGTGTAGCATGATTTAATTTCCACAGTCAGTGCTTAAATTGCCCCCTGGGGATGAGTAAAGTTTTTTTAATTGAGTTGAAATAAGGATGTGGGGAGGCAGTTGGCCTTTACTTAACTTATATTCTGTTTGTGTGAGCTGTCTTTTCTGATACTGTACATGAGAGGTGTATTTATTCTTGTTTGTTTCCTGTTGAAAACCTGCTGCGTTGTCTGTGCTTTCAGGAGGAAAGACTTTACTATGAGCAAACAGGAGTGGGACCTCTGCCAGTAGCTCTGTACAACGGCGTTCCCTATCAGAGAGACCAGTTGGAGCCAGATGAGTTGGAAACTGTCACCATGCACAAGATCCTAGAGACCACAAGCTTTTTTCAAAGAGCCGTCTACCTGGTGAATGTCCCACCTGCTCAAGGAATCTACTCAGTACCATAGACAGACCTCAGTGCAGAATTTTTGTGGGGATTTCACAAATGTCTTAGGCATAGTTGTGTATACTTTTAGGTACAGATACTGTTTCATTCTGTTGCTGCAATGAAAATCCCATGCTGGACACTAAGTGTGCCTCATTTTACATTTCATAATTCAGTGCTGCTTATGTAAAGATCAGGACCTTTTTAGAACATTTTCTGTTTTAATATTGGTAAGTGCTGTTTGCAAACCCCTCCTCGCAGAATGCAAGAACTGGTTTCCGTCTTTTGAAAGTCACTTTATGGTTTTTATTTTTGTCCATTCTAGGGTGAACTTTCTAGCGATCAGGATGTTGTGGATTTTGTAATGAGTCAACCAAATGTTGTGCCCCGAATAAATTCAAGAATTCTTTCTACCACTAGGCAGTATCTGGATTTATCAAGCACAAGTAAGTGATTAAAGAACTCTCTGCAGTTAAGGTTAAGTTCTTAATACCAAAGTAAGTTCTTGATATCACATGTAATGCTATTCTTACAAAATGTTGGAATAATTAGAGGTTAAGTATAATCTTTTCTATATTGCATATTTTATAGACAATCACTTTGTAGATGACTACTCACGGTTCCTTTTCCTTGACTCCAAAGAGAAGAACGCAGCTGTGGCCAACAGCATGAATTACCTTTCAAAAAAAGGTGAGAGGGCAGTCACCATTTTTATTCACACGATTGCTGAATGTTTACAGAGTGGGACGTCATTTTCATTTAATGAGAAAAACAAAATCTATGAGTAAGATACAAATGTAATGAGCTCACTGAAACAGATCATATTATGGCAATTTCTTTGTTTCTCCATGTTCTGCATCTACATGTCACAATCTAATAAGCCTTGATTAGCAGAATTGGGAATTATCTGATTCATGTCAGTAGAGTTTCAGTGAAAATGCAACTTGTTTTTCTTTCTAATTGCTATATTAAGATTATTGGGTCCCTTACAGTGTTCATTGGTTTTTCAAAGTCTTGACTTGCTTACATCAACTTTAAAGAGCCTGGAGACAAACTTTCATAGCATCACCATTTATTGTCCCAAAATATGAGCTTTGTTTCAGGATGTTTGTAGTTTGGATAGTGCAGGGATCTGTAGTAACTTTTTCACTAGCAAGTCAGCTCTCTCTCACTTCGCTGTGCTGTGCTGAGTACACTGCTATGCTTATAAATCCATTCTCAATTTAATAAAATGTGTTTGTTCTGTGTTGATGTCAGACCTCTGAATTTTTACTGTTCTTAAGTTAGTTTTTGAACCTACTGAGATTATTTCCTTATTCTTTTCTTGTTCTTTTATAATTTATATTTTTCCCATTTTTCTTTGATTTGGTTTTTATCTGACTTGCTTGGCCAGGAATGTCTTCCAGGGAAATCTATGGTAACTCTATCTATTTTCTATGCTCTCAAACTCTCTCCATTTTGTCCTTTATGTTTAAGCCTGATTTTAGCATTATCACATTACTAATTAACTGCTTTGGATTGTTTTTTTTTATTTCCATCAAAGCCTGGATTGCTGTTGACATGGGTTTTTAATGTTTACTAATTACAGTTGATTGTACTAAAGCATGCATTTCTGTGGACCTGGGTCTTGAGAACTGCGTTTGATAAGTCAGCAAGTGTAGGACAGTCTAGGATGTAGTAGTAGCTCCTTCTGCATGATCTTTACACTTTGATTGGGATGAGCTTCCGTGATGGATGTGTACTCAGTAGCACACATCCATCTTGTTTGAATGGACATTTACCACTTTTCTATCTGTGTTAGAGCTAGATTATTGTATTTGTTTTGTATTGATCTCTTTTATTTTTTAAATTGCAGACGACAGCTATATTCGGCCGGTAACCTTCTGGGTTGTGGGTGATTTTGACCATCCATCCGGGCGACAGTTGTTATATGACTCAATAAAACACATGGTAGGCAGGTTCTCTGGAACCATCTGCAGTGGCAATTCAAAAAATCACTTTATTTCATGGATTTGTTTGAAAGTACTAATTTGCATTTATTCTAAAATTCAGTGATGAATGTAGCAGGATTTAAATTGGAAAACCTCAGGTAAATGTATAGGATGTGCCTTTCATATTTGCAAGCATTACTTTGTATTTCAGCTGCACAATGTAATTATTAGTCTATGGAATTAATGATTAAGAGATATTTGAGGTGGTTCTGTGAATCTCACAATGAGCTGCACTAACTCCTGCAAATTATACCGCAGGTCTCCAGTGACAGTGATGACTGCGTTAGAAAAATACCAATGCAGAGTATTGAAAAAGAACATCCATCGATTTTAAATAAGATGAAGCTCCATTAAAGATCTTTTCCAACATTCTAATCTAGTTTATCTCTTAATGTAAGGGACTAGATGGCAAATGATTGTCCTTTGAAATGATTTGTGGGTTATAGACCACTGAAAAGGCAATGTGATGGTGCAGTTCTACCTTTTGAGTTTGCTAAATGCAGTGGAAAGCCAAGATGAGTTCAGCTAAGTCTTTCTGCAGTGTGGCGAATCTGATAAACAATGTGAAGATATAGGAATCTGATTAGAGCTCGTCAGAAATAGTGCAATCACCCTGCTCTGTCCTGTTTACAGAAAACCAGTAATAATGTACGTATTGGAATGATCAATAACCCAACTGAAAGCCCTTCTAATGAGACCAGCCGTGTTGCTCGTGCCATCTGGGCTGCGATGCAGACTCAAACATCCAACAACGCCAAGAACTTCATCACTAAACTTTCCAAGGAGGAGACTGCCAAGGCCCTGGAGTCAGGGGCTGATATTGCCGAATTTGCAGTGGGAGTAAGTGACTGTGCCACTCAGTTAAATCACTTTCTTCTTTATTGTGATGATTTTTCTTTCGACTTTTTTTGTGATTTCTTTTTCTTTATTGCTTTTATCCTCTTTCTGGGAGTTTCCAACTTTTTTATATCTTTTTTTACAAAAACTTTTATATTATTTTCTGCCCTGGTTTTCTGTTCATTTATCTTTTTTCCTTGGCTAGTTTGTTTGCCTCTGTGATGACTGCAATTCTGCTAAATCTGCTAGACTGTAAATGACTAGTAATTGCTAGTAATTGCGGTGTTGTTTTTGTTACTCTTATATTTATTTTTCATGTATTCAGTTGAATTTTTCGGTTTGAAATGTTCCGTAGTTTTCACTTCTGGTAATTCTTCCTCTTTTTTCCAGGGCATGGATATCAAATTGTTTAAGAGTATGTATGACTCTCCTAAGGTAGACTTCCTGCTCTCTCACTCTGCGTTCTGTCGAGATGTGCTGAAGCTGCAGAAGGGTCAGAGAGCTGTGATTAGCAATGGGCGGGTGAGTCCACTATATACCAGACGGGACTATTCTGACCTCTTGATTTTCCTTGTTTGAAGCTATTGCATTCTTGTTTCACTGAGGCAGATTCTTCAACTTGTAAACATAATACTCCCTCCAAAAAAACTAAGTTAGATTAGTTAAATTGCCTACAGAGAACAGGTTCAACACCCAGAGCACAGCAGTGTTAGCCTCAGTGATGTTCAGGTGCCTTGTAGTCATTGTTGGCCATTCAAGTGACTGACTTTCTGAAGTGCATTCACCTCCTCGTGTAATGTTATGAAGGCCTAGACAAAGAACCTAAAGATTTACGTGATTATTCGTTGTGTATGCGTTGATTTAAGAATGTTACTGGCAATGTTGATTAAGCTGTACATAAGTTACATCTCTGCAATAACCACTTTCCATGCAGTTTATTTTCCCTGCAATGTATGGTTTTGTCAGGTTTATTTCAATGAGGAAAAACTGTTAACTGCTGTTACATGTATCACAGCCATTTTGTGTAAATTATAGATATCTTTGGGTTGGGTAAGTGACTTCAGGAATCATGTTTTGCAGATCATCGGGCCTCTTGGAGATAGTGAGGTCTTCAATCAAGATGACTTCCTTCTTCTGGAAAGTATCATTCTGAAGACATCAGGAGAGAGGATCAAGAGTAAAATCCAGCAGCTGGGAGTGGAGGAGGACCGGTATGGTTTTGAAAGTGAATTAGTTATATGTGATCACCCTTTTTTTGCAGAGCATTGCTGCTTTGCCTATGACAATTCTTTCACTGTCCTTCAGGCTTCTGTGAACAGCTGGGGTAATTCTAACCTTTTGCCAAAAAAGAATGGAGTTGTATTTCCTCTGTTTTTCTGCCTGGAATAATTATAATTAAATAACATGCATCTTTGCATTTCAGAGGATATCATTAACATTCATTTTTATGCATGCTTTCTAGAGACGTGTGATGTAACATGTTAATTAGCTTTGCAAAGTTTGGATGAAATTATAGAATTGGCACTGTAAATTACAGGCTTGTATTACAATAACATTACAATCGTGAAGCAAAGCCCAGTTTTGACTGATTGTCTGTTTAATCTCCTTGGTTATGTTAATCAGAGCCAGCGATCTAGTGATGAAAGTAGATGCTTTGCTGTCTTCTCAACCCAAGGGAGAGGCCAGGATTGAGCACGCTTTCTTCGAAGATAGGTACAGGTAAGTGGTGTTGTGCATTCAGTAATTTAGAAAAATGGAATTGAATAGTGGGCCAGATCCTATAATGATTTAGGATGTACTAGCACTTTTCCGATCAGGGTTAGGCGAGACGCTTTTTGACCCTTGCATTTCATCACAGTGCCATCAAGCTGCGACCCAAGGAGGAGGAGGTGTATTTTGATGTGGTGGCCGTAGTGGATCCCGTGACCAGAGATGCTCAGAAGCTGGCTCCTCTTCTTATTGTGAGTATTGGCATATGCCACTTCATTTGAATGCATGTATAGCATTTGTCTTCATTCTCATTATATTCTGAGCTCCGGGAAGTAATACATCTTGGTATCTTAAATAAGATCTTAAATAAGTTATATTATTTACAAGATTGTAATTTAAAACATTGCTATTACATACGCTGGTTCCCATCACATTCAGCTCTAACCCAATATTGAACATTTCCATTCCATTTGTTTTGTAATTTCCAAGATATGGCTTTATACAATAATGATATATTTTAGGACATATTTGTCAGATTAGATCATCTATGCTTGAGAACTAACCCTTACAAATCTTGTTTTGGAAGCTTTTTTTGTTAAAACAAATTACAATTTATTTTTCTAATTTACATATGGGAAGAAGACCAATGGGAAACATTTCAATGACCAAAATGTCAGTACTGCTACAATGAATAACAGCTTTGCATCGAAGCCTGCTGCTGTTCCCTCCTTAATGCATCAGTTTTAAAAACTTGTCTGATAAACATTTCCATCATTTTCAGGTTTTGAAGCAGCTGGTGAACATCAACCTGCGAGTGTTCATGAACTGTCAGTCCAAACTCTCCGACATGCCACTGAAAAGGTAGGGCTGTTGGAGAAATCGGGAGATTTACCATGACAGCAAGAAAGCTGTCAAGGTGTTGGGCTTCACTGCAATTTATTTTTGTGACATTTGAGAAATGACTTTGCCTGTTAGGGCAGAGATTCGGCTTCATCCTGTGCTTGACCTGTCGTCTTATAAACAGTGCAATTAAGATTCAGCTGTGCCAGATGAAAGAAAATCAAAATGTGAAGATAAAAAATAACTAAAAAGGAGAACTGGGGATGGAGGGGCTATTTTTCTTTGAAGAAACCTAGATGCTACTTGTTAGTTTCGAATCCCATTTTCAGGCAAGCAGAGATGTTCCTGTTTATAAAATGAGAATGCATTGGATCACAGCTCATTTTTCTGTGCGACTTAACAGATAGCAGAATGCTGCTAGGGTGGATTATCAGGTTAATGCAGCAAAAGGATTTAGTATAATTATTCTAACCTGGGGTTCTATTTCTAGTTTAAACTAGACTTTTAAGAAATACACAGTACTTTTTCAATTATTTTGGCTTTTATTTGCCAGAAGAGCAAACCGTTTAAAGAAACAAACGCACTTGCTGTCAATTAAAAGAACCTCTTTAATGCTGCTGCTCATAGAAAGCATGGTTGCTAGATTATGTTGCTAGGTGGTTGAGTTTTGCTTACTGAAAAAAACACCAGTTGAACATTATGAGAAACATCTAAATGGAAACCTTTTAGATAACACAGTGTTTTACTTGTTTCTTTTGGCCATCAGTTTTTATCGGTATGTCTTGGAACCAGAGGTGTCCTTCATGACCGATAACAGTTTTGCTCCTGGACCAATTGCCAAGTTTCTTGACATGCCCCAGTCGCCCCTGTTCACACTCAATCTGAACACCCCAGAAAGCTGGATGGTAGAATCGGTTCGCACACGTTACGATCTTGACAACATTTACCTGGAGGAGGTAAACTTTTCCTTTGTTTTGTGTTATTATTATTATTATTATTATTATTATTATTATTATTATTATTATTATTACTGTGTTTTTTATGCTTATGTGCACAGATGATGCCTGGTTCCACTTTGTGAGCAGCAGAATTTCCTACTGTTTACTACTGTGTTCATGTTGAACATTCATGAAATTATCCCGTGTTGTTGATGCTGACGCTAGTCATGGTATTGTAGAAGTACAAAAATAAAGGGGGTTCCTAGTTTGGGTATGGCTTCTGTTTTTACAGTGCTGTAGCAAGTCCCATTACCCAGGTAATTCCAGTGGCTCGAGCTGGTGCAGTTGCTGGATCCTAGGTGCTGCAGAATAGCCCTGACCGCACTTTCTGCCACGCTGTGCAGGTAGAGAGTGTGGTGGCAGCGGAGTATGAGCTGGAGTACCTGCTGCTGGAGGGGCACTGCTTCGATGTGACGACAGGACAGCCTCCTCGGGGGCTGCAGTTCACTCTGGGCACAACCTCGGACCCTGTCATTGTGGATACCATTGTCATGGCCAACCTGGTGAGCGCGCTGCCCTCCACTCAGCTCAGCTGTTACTGCACAGGACATGTTAATCTGCACAGCAAGTGGAATAATGGTTGATCCTTTTCGTTTTGATTAAATCAAAGCCAGATTTGACTATTTTGTGTACCTTTGGCCTTCAGTGAGCTTCAGTTACTGCCTCTTCCACATGGAAATGAATATAATCAGACCTCGAATGTTCCTAGAGATTTGTAGGAAGGGATGTGTTATCTCCCGCAGTAAAATTAAACTTTGTCCAGCTCCAGCATAATCAGAAAACCAAATACAATCTTGAACCTGTAACTGTGTTTTATGTGTCATGGTTCCAGAATATCATGAGGGTGTAATTAGTTCATCTGTTTATTTTAAATGGAAATGTAATGTGTAGGTTGTGCTGTTGGCACATTGCTTTGCTGCTGAGTTGATGTGGGAAAATAAAAGCACATGAACATGACCTGAAGACGTGTTCTTGCCAGACTCTACACTCACTGATGTGAAATCATACAGTGATGTGGATGTCAGTATGTGGTACAGCATTACGTACTTTGCTGTTAAAGTAAATGTGCTCTTTTTGCATCACATAGGGGTACTTCCAGCTGAAGGCCAATCCTGGAGCTTGGGTTCTAAAATTGAGAAAGGGCAGATCAGATGACATCTACAAGATTTACAGGTACCACACTTCTCAGGAAAAACTCTGCTGTCTTATAAATCAGCATCCATCAAGTAAAGTTGTTTCAGTTGTAAAAAGTCTTGGAAGTCATTAAACTTGATATTGGGCTTGCCAGCTCAGGCTTTGACAATGGACACATTAAGGATCTAGTAGTTCAGATGGGTAAACCTATTACTTGTTGCATTAAGGATCTAACATGAAGATCTTAAGCCTGCCAGTTCTGATATTCACCCGATAGTTGTAAAAGTATAGCAGAATAAGGGGAGCATGCAAAATGGAGATAGTTAAGAGGTGCTTCTCATTTCTTCATTAATTCATTTTGCAGAGAAGCTAATAAATGAATACAGAAATGATGAAAATTCTCTGAATCCGTGACTTTTATGGTAATTTGTAAACATTGTTGACTGATCTTGGATATGAACATGGTAGTAACACTGATAAATCTGATGTAATATTAGTGGGGAAAAAAGTCTTTACATCTGAATGTGGAAGTACTGTATATGTACAACAATAACATACATCCAAAGTTCCAAACTGGTCCTAGAAAATGAAGCCTTTTTTCCTGCCTTTGTTCTACAGCCATGAAGGAACAGATTCCCCTCCAGATGCTGATGACCTGATTGTAGTTTTGAATAATTTCAAGAGTAAAATCATCAAAGTCAAGGTAATGTCTGGTTTGGATGGTTGTACTTAACATTTCATAACATAAATTACTGGACAATGAAGAAGATAGATACTGAACTAAATAGATTTCTTTCCATGTAAGATTAATGAAATGCTGATTGTTTACATATCTTATTTATTATTTAGCATTTTGTTTGAGAAAATATTCATTTTTTATTATTTTTATTAAATACCCATTGTTAATCTAATTATTTTTCTGAATAATATGAATTCTTCTATATATAGAAGATTCTTTCTATATTTATTCTTATAATTTCTAATAAAATAAGCACTGTCTGCGCAAATTCCATCTACCAGTTGCTATTTTTGGTCTTATCCCTACATAGTCACCCAAACTGGATAACAATATAGGTCGACCTTGACAGCAGTGTCTCAGTTCTTCTTTTAAAAAATGACAGCCTGAATGGGGAAAAACAGCTCTCTTATTATGGCAGCTAGAACTGTTAACAGCACCCTGTGACGACTGTAGACAGTCTGTCATTTTAAATTGCTTTGCCTGATGTATGGGTCTGTGGAGTTTGCTGTAATATCGTTGTCTATGTGGTGTGAATGCTGTCAAGTTATATTCTTGGGACATTAGTTTGGATAGTGTTTGAAACCATGCCCACTGGAAGAGAAGTGGACGCATTTGTTGTTATAGTATTCTTAATTATACATATTATACATATTACATGCATACATATTATAGTTTTATATTAAATCTCACCAAATAGTGATTTAGTGCCTTAAATTATCTAAATGTTCATAATACTGTATGTAACCATTTTGTCCTGAATTAAAGATGTAATTTTTAGAAGGTGCTCATTTCTTTGAGGGAGTTTTGTTTTCAGATGTGGTACTTTTTTTTCTGTAGGTCCAAAAGAAACCAGACAAAATAAATGAGGAACTTCTAAGCGATGGAAGCCATGAAAATGATTCTGGATTTTGGGAGTCTTTAACAAGGTATAGTGGACTATAAAATACAGGCTTTTCCATGCAGATCATTGACGTAAACCATTGTCCTTTGTTGTTTTTTAGCAAAAGTATTTTTCAGGTATTTTCAGCTGAAGTCTTTCAGTTGTTCTGGGTCCTTTTGAAGTCGTACTTCATGGAGAATCTTCATTAGTGCTTTTCTGGTTTTTTTTACAGAGGATTTACTGGTGGCAAAAAAACTGAAGAGGTGAAGCAGGAGAAAGATGACGTTATTAACATTTTCTCTGTGGCTTCGGGACATCTGTACGAAAGATTCCTCAGGTTGGTTTTGTGCATCAGGGCCGTCTTTTTGGTTCAGAAGAACATAGAACATAGCACTTTGCTTGGAATATCTTTCTTCTTACATGGTAGCTATGAATGTTCAAGTGGGGAGCAGAGATAATGAAAGAAAACTGGATTTTTTGTGTGCTTGTAACTCACTGAAGGAAGACTCCTAGATACATAGATTCATCATAAATATTCTAATATTTTTAGATAACTGCCTCTTCTTGGCAGTTTTGTGAAATGATTTAAATGGGAAAATATAAATTAACATTTTAGAGCCATTTCATTTAACTTATGGGCTGAGAACTCACTTCATGATTCAGCGCAATGAAAACAAAGCTGTGCATCAGCGTGAAGTAATCTGTGTTGACGCATCTTAAAGCTTATATGTCTGGAACAAAGATGATTTGTCTGGATCTTTCTTTTTTTTTAGTGAACAGTCTACTCTGTCATTTTTAAATTGTAATAGGCCAGTACAAGATCACTTTTCCTGGAAATCCCAGGCAATAAATATTGACAGGAGTCACTTTAATTGGTCTTTTATTGATGAATACTGAGAGGAGTGTTGAGACAGGTTTTCGACCTGTGCTTTTGCATCCAAATTAGTTTTTAATGAGCACTGGAGTAGTCATTATCTCTAACCCAAGATCTGTGTACTGCAAACTCCTGATCTCCTAGCATTTGTGCCAATCATACAGAATTTTGATTAGAAATAAACAAAGTAAATCAATGAAGTCAAGACTTCATTGTTGGACTTTCTCAGGAAAATATCATTAAGACAAAACCTTACAGTTTTTATTTTTATCTATTTTAACTAGTACAGATATATGGCACAGACCTGATTTTAAATCACTAGTCCTGAAGTGTGTTTTGTTGTGTTAGTGCTATATAGAGGTATTCAGAAATAAAAACACAGAAAAGTGTTACTTAAACTTTTATTAACCTTTTCAGATATCAAGTTTCATAAAACTGAAAATCTTTAACTTTTGCTGAATACATAATATAAACAAGAGTTAGTTAGGAATAGTAGCTAGTTTACCTAAATAGCATACATTTGTGGTAATATATATATATAGTTTAAAGAAATGTTTTAAAGTGGAGTGTTCTGCAAACACTTTTTATTTGCATGGCGTTTATCTCCTTCTTTGTTTTCAACAGAATCATGATGCTGTCAGTCCTAAAACATACAAAGACACCTGTGAAATTCTGGTTCCTGAAGAATTATTTATCTCCAACATTTAAGGTAAAAATAATGTTAATTGCAGAGAAATATCACAAACCATATAGTATCATCTCTGTATGGTTAACAACAATAAATATGGTCAAAGTAAAATGAATGTCCTCCCTGGAAATATAGCTCCAATTTACAGCTTGAAGATGTTTTTTACAGTTAAACAGGTTTAGTGTGTGTGTGAGTCAAACCAGACTTCACCTCTGAAGAAAACAGATCTAAAACAGAAGAAAGATGAGTCGCAAGGTTTGTATTAGTTCACATTAGTTTGGTCATTTGGAAGCAAGCATGGGTAACCATCACGGTTACATAACAGATGATAGTGCAATAGAAATTGAATAAAATAAACTCAGACAAAACTCAATATAAACAGAGCTGCTGTGTGTCCAGGGTGTATGCATTACATTATGTCCAAGTAGTGCAGTATGTCGAATACAATGACAACTGCCTGTCTGTGTAGCCCTTATGGTTGATACTTTAAAACCTGACGTGCTGAAGTCAGTCCTGAGTGAAATCGCTGTGCTCTCTTCTTCTCAGGAGTTTATTCCCTACATGGCGGAGGAGTATGGGTTCCAGTATGAGCTGGTGCAGTATAAGTGGCCCAGGTGGCTTCACCAGCAGACGGAGAAGCAGAGGATCATCTGGGGGTACAAGATCCTCTTCCTGGATGTGCTCTTCCCTCTGGCTGTGGACAAGTTTCTTTTCGTCGATGCTGACCAGGTATGACTTAAAGTACAGACGTCTTTTGGCATGATTTGCCTATATTCTAAAATAAATCTGAGTGCATTCAATATAGAAAATAGTTCAGCAGAACACATTGGTCCATTTTGTTAATTCATTTACTTTGTTAATTTTGAATTATTTCTGAGTGGTCTTTTTGGCATTTTTTTAATATTATGTCTACAATAATGACTGCACTCAGTTCAGCTTTAGTTTTAGATTGTTTTAGACATTGAGCTGTCGTTTTCTTTAGTATTTTTGTGTGTTTTGGAGTCTCTGCACTAGAATGTTTTCTTGAGAGAAAAAAGCAATTATCAGTTTGTGTTATTGTAAAGAGATTTGCAAAAACATTGATATTAGAACATGTTTTGAAGATGTGCTTGTTTGTCTAAATATGTAAGATCTTTCAAACCTATTTCTAAAAATGTAGTCATTTTCTCTCATTTTAATTTACAAATGTGTGGTGTTCTTTCTGTTATAAAACTAAAAAATGCAGTGTTTTTCAGATTAATATGATGAAATTCTGTGCTACAAGTATAAAAAAGATTAACTTGATTATTTTCCATAAAGTAAAAAATGAATGTCCATATGAGAGGCACTTGTTTTAATTATTATACTCTTCTGCCATCTGCTGTTTATGTTCAAGAACCTCCTGCTGTATTTTGGCCGGTTGCGATTAAGAATATGCTTCCCTATTTCACTCTGTTTCATTCCAAGAAGCACACTGTTGTTATAAATCACTGGGACCACATAGTGCAATGTAGGTTATGGCTTCGATTGCAAGAGTGGTTAAGAAAGATGTGTAGGACAGAAAGATCACAATTGTATTGCAAAACAGCTGAGCAAATTAGTTTAATCATGTATATGTTTTACATCCTACTAGATAGTGCGCACAGACCTGAAGGAGCTGCGAGATTTTGACCTGGAGGGGGCGCCCTACGGTTATACGCCATTCTGTGATAGTCGCAGGGAGATGGATGGCTACAGGTTCTGGAAATCGGGGTACTGGGCTAGCCACCTCGCTGGAAGGAAATACCACATCAGGTACGACACCTTAAACAGTCAGTCAACACACGGCGACTTGTCCCAGAAATTGTCTCTGTTCATGTGATCCTGTGATTTGTGTTTGTTTTTTAGTGTCAGATTGTCTTGTTTTTCTGAATTGCCAGAAGATTTGTTTTGAACAAGTTCAGTGTTTTAACCCAGACTCTTGGTAGTATACTGATGAAATACAAACTGGAAGGAGTGAATTCTCTCCGATGGTTTGGCCACGACAGAGGCTGGCTTGCTCTGGGTCGCTGAAATGTACAGGGGGAGTGGGTTTAGCATTAGTTCTCAAAGCAAGTCGTTCTGCCTGGCTAGATCTGCTGTATTAGATAAGTAACTGAGACAGGATGCTTCCTATGTAGTGCCCTGTATGTAGTGGATCTGAAGAAATTCAGGAAGATCGCTGCTGGAGACCGGCTGAGGGGACAGTACCAAGGTCTGAGCCAGGACCCCAACAGCTTGTCCAACCTGGATCAGGTGTGTAATGCTCAGCTAGTGGAGTATTTAATTCCACTCCTTTCAGAGTCAAGGGCCTTGAACTAGTTACCCAATTATTCTCCCACTCCAAACAACAGTCCATAAATGGGGAGTGATATATAGGACCATTGAGATGTTAACATACAGTAGCTAATAATAAAAGTCATTATGTAAATTGGCTTGTGAAGCAACTCTTTTGGACATCCGTCCAGCAGCAACCGTGCTGCTGTTATACAATAAAAAATCAAGTACTCAACCAGTCATTAACAATAATTAACATTTTTGCTATTTCTTTTTTTTACACCAATACATAGTAATCTGTTATGTGTTGAAACAATACTTACTATGCTGTTTTGATAACATTTCCTTAGAAACAAATATTCTCAGAAGAAGCAGCAGCTCATGGCTTTTAAGCGGGGTAAGAGCTCATGCAGGTATCACACACAGCTTATTAGATAAAATGTGTCTGTCAGAAACCACAATAAAATAATCTGATCTAACACCACTAGAAGCCATTAAACTAGGAAGGTAATGCTTCTGTTGTTCATTTTTAGATTGTGAGAAAATGCCCAGATCTTTTTTTACAAATGCACTTTGGACATGTATTGCTAAACGTCATTCTGTTTTGTGTTTGCTGTGTAGGATTTGCCCAACAATATGATCCACCAGGTGCCAATTAAATCCCTCCCCCAGGAGTGGCTTTGGTGTGAAACATGGTGTGATGACTCGTCCAAGAAAAGTGCCAAGACGATTGATCTGGTAAGATGTGCTTCCTTGCTGGGATTGAGTGTTTACCCGTTAATCCTGCTGGTGTAATTCTATCATCTGGCCCTTCTGCTTGTAGTGCAATAACCCACAAACCAAAGAGCCCAAGCTGCAAGCTGCAGTGCGCATTGTGGGAGAGTGGTCATCCTATGACCAGGAGATCAAGAAGATCTACAACAGGTTCCTGGAGGAGAAGGAAAAGGGGACCACTCCTGTCACCAATGACACAACGCAGATAAAAAAGCAAGGTGTGTACAGTGCCATCGGGTCAGGGTCCATTTCAATATTAGGAAAATATACGTAGCTGGTGACTTTTGCAGTGTAACTGCTTGATTCTTAAATTGTTGCCATTCTACATCTGTGCTACATAGCATTGTGCATTATATTCTCTCCCGAAATGTTAGAATACTGCAAGAAATGTGCTCCGCGCAGCTCAGTTCCTCTCCACACGTAACTGAAATGTTCCTCGAATTATATTGTGAAATAGTCATGTATTAATTTGAGATTTTAACAATTTACAGTAGGACTAAGAATGCCTGATACTTCAGGGATATGTTAAGTGCACCCGTTACACAATACCACTTAGTGCAGTCAGATAGAGCCATGCAGTTTTTGCAGTTATCTGGGCCTTAAGATCATTTTTCACTTGTTTTTTTTCTGCGGTTTAGCCTTCTTTTGGCATTTGCCTAGGCACAGAAATGACTGAAATTTGCGTGATGTGCCTTTACACTTTCTTTGTTGCTCCAATAGGTTCTGTTGACCACACCGAGTTATAGCCTGCAGTCGTGCAGGGGAGGAGGACATTCGACTCTGTTTAAAGAGTTTTTCTTTTTACAAGACGTCTGTTTCCTGGAATGAATCCTGCAGACCTGCTGAAAGACTGCTACTGTCCTGAATGCAATTTTTATGATTTCTATACTGTTGGGAGAGGGCATTGGGTTTCTGTATTTGTCCATGTAAAATGAAAGGGAAGGTGAATTGTTGCTGATCAGGCTCCAGGGCTGGGTAAAATAAAAATAAAACTCAAAAATAGGTTAACTGCTCTACGTTAATGTCCCCTTTTCTCTAGAGAAACCCATCCTCTGTCTGTAGCTGTTTGCTTGTTTTTTTGCACATTTATCCTCTTATCTGTCACTCACAGAAGCTGACATCAGCACAGCTCACAGATTATGATTAAACCCGAAAATAATTGCCATATTATGATAGAGCAGGATCCAAAATAACTATGTGAGATCCTTTACAAATGCTTAATATTCAAGTAGTCATTGAAAAGGCTCTAAAATGATTGAAAGCACAACATCTGTTTTTGAAAGGGCATTAATAGGAACTAGAGACCGAATAATACCACTTTTTCACTTTAAAATACCCATTTAAACTGCTTTTGTGTACCTTTCTAGTGTTTGTGGAGCTTTTATTTGCGTCAAATAAGGTGCATTTCCCCTTTTCATAAGTGTCTTGTACAGTTTAATGCTGTCACTTTTTATTACCTCACGCTGTGTTTGCAGGGATGCAAGGTTAAGATAACATACTGTCTTTTTAACTACAGACTGGATTCTGGTTAATCTCATTGCAACAATTGAAAGTTTTATGAATGTACATCAACTCTCATGCAGGTCCTTATTTGTTTTTGTTATTTTTATTGAATTTTGATTTATTTTAACTATGAAAACATTTATTATGACAAGTAGTGATTAGACTAGATCTATAATTGTCTTGGTTTTACCCAGCCCTTTTGATGAAATAAGGTTTACATCTCAGGGAAGATCTGATTTGTCCTGTTTGTTATGGTAGAGAAAAAGCCAAAAATTCAGTGGATTTTATTAAAGCTCTTGCAGAGCAGAAAAGACCAACATTAATTTAAAAAAGCAAAACTAAACATTGCACTTTGTCATACAACAAAACTACTTTTTCAAGTGTGCCCTCTTAGTTATGCCAGGATACAATACAGTTAATGGACATATATCATTGTCACTTAGGCTTGAAAAGATACATGTTGAATCAATGACTGCAATGTGAGAAGTGTATATTTTGGTTCTGTAACTAACCTAAAGCAGTCATTCATTTAGAGTCTCTGGCTGCAGAACAGGGAACATTTTAGTTCCAAAAAATCCTTTAAAACTTCCCCAGCATTCTCAATGTCCAGCATCATAAATGTATCTATTGTCAAACAAAATTCCTAATTCTTTGCATACCCCTAAAAGTAATCACGCTGTGACAGATTATTCTAGTGCCTTGTCTAGTAATTTACAGTCAACCCATTAGAGCCTGATATAGATCTTTGTTGAAAGATTCTAAACTAACAGGTCCTCTCATAAGTAAGAATATAGTTTAGTTCATCATAAATTGTAAAATAGAAGCATTCCTTGGAGAAAATGTTTATTAAAACATTTTGCATGCTACTAATCTGAACACTGAAGGACAGTTTTAACTTTGAGTTTTTAGCTAAGATACCGTGAGCCCTTGTCTGCTCTGGTAGTCAGGAGATCTACTTTGAATATTCTGGCTTGAGCTCATACATGTAAGAAGAGGCACCATGCCTAATTCTGCCAGCGCAAGCCACAGCTGGTTTTAAGTACCATGATTTAAAATTCAGACTCCTCCCTCTTAGTCCTGTAAACAAGAAAATCTCAGTGCATCGTACATGAACCCACAGCATCCTTATTTGTTGTCATAATCCATTTTGAATGGGCAGTTTTTCAGGGTATGACATCAAGTTTTGAATGAAAAATGTTTTTCAACTCATCTCTTAAAACATGGGTTTTGAGTACATGCGATCAGCTTTCCGTCTTTAAGCTTTACCTTATCCCAGTGATGGACATTTTGCATATTTGTGATTTATTGAAATAGAATGTGAATTATTCACAAGCAAGTGGGGAAGAGTGAAAACCTACAAAGAAACTGTTATGCAGTAATATACTCAGTGCATTACAAATGCAGCAATTCTGTTGGTTCCACTACTCAGTTGTTGGGTTTAAATGTGGCCTTAACTTTGCAGAATCATTCAGTAAGATAAATTGAGCTTCTTCAAACAACATTCTTTGTATGCAAGGTTATCCTAACAGTGGGGACAATTTTCTGATCTGCAAAGACAGGGCCTTGACTTTGATGTAATAAAATTAATTTACATGTGAATAATCTTTATGGTCTGTGTTTGTTATGCATGTCTGTGGTGGTGTTGGGAAATGAAGAAATGTGGTTACTGGACCAGTAAAATTGCAGTTTTTGACAAATATTTTGAAATCACTTAAATATAGACATCATGTAAGGTACAGAGTATGATCTTGTTTTGTAGGAGGCCATAGCTTCTCTAAATCATCAGATTGATACTAGCTTCAAAGCAATTCTGCAGTTCAGCCATTTTCTATTGTCACTTCTTGTAAAAGCCAACAAGCAGAATAAAATGCACTGAGCAGTAGATTATATCAAGGTCTCAATATTTTCATATTAAATCTGACAAGGTTTTAACCTTAGTATATTGTTCATGCTTTTCCACGCTACTGCTGTGCGACTATTGACTGTAGGCTGTAGATGATCCGAAAAGACAATCTTATGTGACGAGTCTCATTCCAGACAATCCCTTCCTGTTTAATTGGGATAGCGGTGTACAGTGCCCATTGGTGCCTTTTGCATGTTGATTGCTGTTGTACTTTTTCTGTTGTACAGAAATGGCAGGTATTTTTCCAAATGCTTGAAGGTCCATTATTCTTTTAACTGTTACTTGTTTACTGTTGTTTGCTGATTGGTTTTACAGTGTTGATAAATTCAGCAAGAAGTGAATGAATAGACCCGGCACCTATTTTTCCTATAATTAAATTATGTTATATGTTTTTTTCGGTGGGTTATTTATCATGACCAAGGTACTGTACAATTGTACATTTTCAGATTACCACAAGTTACCATAGTGCTTACAATAACCGAGAGACAATGAATCTTTTTAATGCTTAAAGCAATGAAACCTTGTCCATGGTTGTTTTTAAGAAGGAGTTATTGTGAAGTATGCATTTGTTTTTCTGTTATTTTATTATTATTGAATACATTCATATTTAATAGAGGAAAGCAGCATAGTTATCCATGGATTTTTGGCTTAATGTACTGTTACCTGTGGAATATCAATATTTTGTAATTGACAATAAACCCAAGAACCAAGTACTTTTGGTGGGATGGTGGATTTTTTTTTTAGTTTATAGAAATCTGAGCTTTGCTGCTATTCTTTTGTTGAAGACGTTGTGCTTCTTTACAACCAGTAAAAAATAACTGCTGCCTTTTGCATTGCTTGTCACTCGTCTGGCTTTCTTACAGAATTAATCAAGCGCAAACAATTTATCCCTGCTAAGCATTTCAGTTACTGCTCTGAAAAAGAATCATTGCATTTCTAAATAACATTGAGTGTCATGGTCCCCACTATTCAAAAGTAAGCTGACATTTATGAACAACTTTAAGTGATTAAGGATTCTTACATTTTATGAACTTTCTTCATGATTGATCATTTCGGATTGCTTTAAAATACAACAATCAACAAAGAGGTAAACACAAAATAAAGCAGTGAATTAACGTTAAATGTTGGAGTGTAAAAGTGTGTTTTAAAGAAGGGATCTGAAAGGACCCACTGCCTTGATTGACTGATTTGATGTGGGCTGGGAGATTCTAAGGGTTTGGAGCAGCATAGCAGGTCGAGCCATTTATAGGGACCTGAAAGAAGGCCAGTGTCTGAGCAGCCCAAGTGATGTGCAGGTGGTAGAGAGTTAACACTTCAGTGGAGGAGCCAAACCTTTTAAGCACTTAAGCCATATTTTGAATTTTCTCCTGAAATCCACAAGGAACTGGGGGAATTAAGACAAAGTGTCATATATGCTCATACATTACAGTTTTGTTTTAAAATCCAAGCAGCTGAGTTCTTGAGCATGCTGAAATGTAATTGTTTTGGGTACCTAAACATTGCAGTAATCACATCTACTAAAGGTAAAATCCTGCGTCACCTGCTTTGCATTGCTGTTACAAAGACGCCTTCACAACACTGCAAACGAGCTTCGGATGTACAGATGTGAAGCTCTAGCTAAATATCCTCCTAATATTCCTCAACTGGGATTGCAGGGTCATCTGTGGTCGAACTAAGGCTAAAGATCAAGCAAAATACAAAGTAAAAAAAAACAAAAATTAGGAGTTTCCAAGGAAGTAAATTTGATTAGTCCATTTTCTTTACTGTTGCAGTATAGATTTATAGTCACAAGGGGGCAACAAAGATATGTATTTACAACATATCAAATGGTAATACTGTAAACAAACAATATATCTTTTTGTATATTCCTGTTTAATAGACATTTGTGTTGATATGTCACCTGTCTGACTGACAGAAATTCATTATCAGCTTTTTTTGGGGGGGATGATATTTTTTGGACAATATGGCCATAAAAATAGTAACAGATTTAATCATAAGTAACATCAACATAACTTCAATGTACATTATGGTACTCACCATATTTTATTTTGGTGTTTTCATACTGGACTTCCGAAAATCCGATACCAAAAAAGTGTACTGCCTTCAGAACCCTTGGTTTTACTTGTCTCTGCATATGTGAGCTCTGTTTGTTTTATTACTGCTAATACAATTTCATACCATTCAAAATACTAATGCACGCTCACTGGCTGGCCTAATGTTTGATGTCATGATGAATTTTCTCAATGTGATTAGTAGCTGGCATAACATTTAAAACCATTGTCTAGCCACACCTGTTTTCTAAAGGAAAGTGCCCGTGTAAATCAAAAGTAAAAAGGCATTTTTTGCATTTCCATTCAACTTTTGAGACTGAATTCTCAGATTTCTTAATGCTTTTATAAAATGTAAAAAGCTGATTAAAATCCATGTTTCTGAGAGTATGTAGGCTTGGTCACATTTTGAGTTCCACCTCTATTCAATGGGTTTGAAGACTATATGGATTCCTAGGGGGCTCTTTTAAAGAGAATTATGTCAACTAAACCTGGCCTAATAGCTTGAATTTTGTTCTTTATGTATCGGTTTCTCACATACAATGATGAAGTTCCATTATAGAATCATGGGCATTTAGAAAATAATTGATTGTGATTCCTACTTGATGTCTCTAAATGTGTTATTCATCTGATCCTCTGTAAAGATTGTCTCTGGTGAGATGGAGTTAATAGTGACAATAAAAGAAAAAGAGAACAAAGTTTATCAATATCAATTTAAACTGGTGCAGTGGAGCCAGAAAGAGCATCATTTACATGTAGATGATAGTTTTAGCCTAGATCCTTTCTTTTTTTTCCCCTCTCTGCGTAGTTACCATGGCTACCCTCATGCCATTTATTTCTGTGCATTAAGAACAGGCTGTTCCTCTTCAGCCATCACTTCTTGTGCCTTTTTTAAAGGAGATGAATTTGCATGTAGATGAGTCTGTGCATTTTTTCTTATGATTTTGTCTTGGCTTGCTACCCAGGGGATTGGGAAGGCTTCGATCAGCGCCTGGGCTCAGGGGAACTAGGTTCCTCTCTGGATTTTCAGGAGTTGCTATGGCAAAACCCGTGGAATAGATAACTTTCTCATGAAAGTACAAAACTGTTTTGACATCCAGATGGTACTGGCCACACTTGGGTGCAAGTGGAAAGCATTTACCTACGAAGAACGCCTAAATGCCAGCTCAGCTAAGTGATTACAGCACTTCAAACAGCTGTTTATTTTTGTCAGCCAGTTTTTCAGGTCATGAATTGAGATACACCTATTGTGAATATATTTAAAACTAAAGAGCTGTGGAAGAATTTGAAGTTATAAACAACCTAGAGAGAATGGACCACACAGTAAGGTTCCGTTAAATACAAACATGACCGGACACACCCTTTAAAACCTTATGTGCTTTCTTCCTCTGTGGAATATAGAAGATTTACTCCTGTAAAAGTCTGTTCTTCGCTATACTGTTTTTGAAGTATTTTTTTTATTTTAATAAGAGATCTTAACACAGAGGTGAAGGAAAGCAGCCTGAGAGAGATAAAACACATTGCCTTTGCTGCTCTCCTGCACTCTCTCCCTGTCTTTTTATGTGTTAATCAAGGTGCAGGACTGATGAAAGACAGCGATGCTCTATAGCTCAAGAGCCCAGACACTCTCAGAGAACCAGTTCCCAATGAGCACTGTGGCTTGCTTGCAAAATATCATCTGTAAAATCTTTTTGTTTCCTTTTGCTTCTTTCTGCTGTTTCTTTTATTCTTTTTTTTTAGCAACAGAGAAATATCTCTTTAAAATAAAGGAAATCTGTCTCCTAGTAAAACAGGAAGCCAGAGATGTCCAGGGTTCTGATCCCTTCCACTGCCTGCTATTGTGTTCGAAAGGTTTTTGCATTTACATTGGCGGGTCGTTTTCATTGTGTGAATTCACTGGTTAACTGGTATAAGGTTTTATTTTCAAGTTCCATCATACTCAGACTGTAAGGGGGGTCTAAATCATGAAATCATATCATCTTAACTGGAAGCTGTTATTTTTTCCCCAAACCCACTTAGCCTCTTCTAAATTGATTAAGCACATCTTAGAGTTCAACACTGAACAACAAAAGGGATTTCCTTTGACTTTCTGAGGGGTGTTGATATACAGTAAGAAGGGTAACAGAATTATTCAAATGTACAGTGCTGTAGATTAAAAGGTAGATTATTTTAACAAGGCTTGATCATCTTTATTTGTGCTGGCATTACGATAAGATCTTCATTGAAAGCCACCTCAGTCTTCACTGTAAAGAAATCTTTATTACAGCTGTGTCCACTGGGTGGCGGCACGAGCCCATTTGTGATACGCATCTGCGATCAAATGAACTGAAATTACGGCTGTACAAACAAGGATCTAATTGTAATTTATTTCCTTTGAAAAATAAAATGGATATTCATTTTTCTAACAATGTATATTGAAAGGAAATTTTCTTTCCTCTTATGCAGGATTTTTATTTGAATTTTCTTATTCGGTCAGTGCCAAATGCATGTTCGTACGGAGGGAAGGATACCATTAGAGAAATTAATCAAATAAAGATCATACAATAATTCAATTTTAAACTTTTAAACTATACTGTCAGTTAAGGAAGTGAGTTGCAGAACAATGAAGTTCTGAACAATGTGTCTGCTGATAGACTCTGCTGTCGATCTTACAAAGAAACAACCTCATGCACTGTGTTGATGGATATGTTTCCTGCAAGACACTGCTCTAGTTGTTGTTTGCAATGCAGCTGCTGGCAGAGAGCATCATAGCCAGATTCACAGAATTACATAATAAGACGGATTTGTGGTGTTGGATAGGTGAACAGTGTTGCTGCTACTGAGTCAGACATCTTCCCCAGGTCTTGTGTCGCACTGGTTATGAGAAATGATGGACTTTGCAGATTACTGCTGATGACAGAGAACTGTGTCTGATTATTGGAATCACTCTTGTAGATTACTGGGGTGCGCCCAGCACCTCATAGTCAGACTGATTGAAGCTCAAATCTGCCAGTTATGTGGGCATTCATCTGCAGATTGCACATCTGTCACCTGCATCTTGCCATGAAGCTAATTCATCACAAAACCTGGTGCAGCAGTGTTCTATAAACTTCTCGCAAGAAAGCTGGCTCAGGAGTGATATTTATCGTTAGAGGTTTTCAACTTCTTCTTTTATTCAGGAAACTTAGATTTGTACATTTATAGAATTACGTTCATGTCAAATCACCAAATGAAGAGTTACCAGTACACTGTTTAACATGTCAAAACCCCATACAAACCCAGCTGGAAGGTCTTTTTGTGCATTCGTACAATGTGATTATTTTGTGATGTATTCATATTGTATAGAAAAGGGATGTTACAGTGTGGTGAGATATGAATATAAGCTTTACTAATGTTTTTTTTATATTATTTCAGTCTTTTTACACACTGACAGAGTGAAACGAGTGTGTAAGAATGTAGATGACATTTGCTCTCACACGGAGGCAGTATTCAGGTAATAGTCACTAATCACAGCAGCCCCAAGGAAATTACTTGGAGAAAAATGCTGTACAATAACAGAAAAGTATCGACCCACATACAGAGCTGACTGTACAGGGCACTGTCTTTGATCGATACCTATAACAAAGACCTTAGACAGTGTTTGCACGTTCCATCCCAGGCGGATTACAGCTGTGTACCCAACTTCC